ATACATGGTCCACAGGGAGTGTCGCTATTAGGAGGTGTGGCCTTGTCGCAGCAAGTCTGTCAATGTGAGGGTGGGCTTTGACAGATCCAGGTGTAGAACCCTCAGCTCCTTCTCCGGCACCCTGCCTGCCTGCAGGCTGCCATGCTCCCTGTCACGACTACAACCGACTAAACCTCTGAAACTATAAGCCAGCCCCAGTTAAATGTTTTCCTCTACAAGACTTGCTGTGGTCTCTTCACAGCAATCAAACCCTCACTGGGACGGGTGCCATCATTAAGCGAGGCGTAAGGGTATATAGAAAAAAATTCAGGTCAGGTGGAGGAAAGTCTACCTGGCTCCTAAGCAGAGACACAAAACCTTCAGCCCACTCGCAGGAATCAGGGCATAGAGGAAGAGAAGATGCCAGGCAGGGGGAATCTCAAGACCACGACCAGCCTGTGCAATTTAGGAAGACCTGTCTCAGAATAAGAGGGGCCGTGAGAGTGTATTTGCAACCCTGATGATATGAGTTCGATCCCTGGACCTACAAGTTATCCTCTGCACTCCATATGCATGGCATGGCATGAATGTGCCCACACACAAACCAAATACATTTAAAAACAAAAACAAAAACAGGGCCTGGCAGTGATGGCTCACACATTTAACCCCAGCACTAGGAAGGCAGAGGCAGATGGATCTCTGTGAGTTCTAGGCCAACTTGAGCTACCAACAAAGTTCTAGGACAGGTGAGGCTACAGAGAGAACATCTGTTTCAAAAAATCAAAACCAAAAAAAAAAAAAAGGAAAGAAAACCAAAACAAACAAAAAACAGGGCTGGACTGATGGATCAGAAGCTAAAAGTCCTTGCTTCTCTTACAGAGGACCTGGGTTCGAGTCCTAGCACCCATGGGATAGCTCACAACCATCCTTAACGCCAGCACCAGTGGATCCAACCGGCATGTACATGGTACACACGCATGCAGGCAAAACATAGATAAAGCAAAATAAATCCAAAAGCAATCAAAATAAAATGAGCCCAGGGACAGGATGGCTCTGTAACTGAACACTGGCCTAGAATCTCCCAGTGAGGGGCTGGGGGCGTGGCTCAGTCTTAGATTTCCTAGCCTAGCATTCAGTGAGGCTCTAGACTCAATGCTCAGCATTTAAACAACAATGAATACTACAACAGGTATCACTGATATTTCTCTTACCCCACACACACAAAAACTGGGGGGACTGTGGCTTCATCCCTGGACCATTACACACTGGATAAAAGAAAGTACTGTAATTTGGGGGAACTGATAACCCCAATCCAGGGAGACCAGAAATTTCACTGGGGGCATCCTGTCAAAGCAGGAACTTATGAATCGGGCAGGCTTGACTTGCAGTACTTCACAGCAGCCCATTAGGACTCCAGACCCACCCATGATAACTCCTGGTCTCTTGTGCACTGAGCTCCCTGGCAGGGTACAGCCGCTCTGAGGAGCACCAGTGATGTCATCCCAGACCCCTCGTAAATCTGTGCCTGTGAGCCTGGGATGAGTGGCACTTGGAGTCTCTGTCCCTGAGATTGGGGTGTCTCAGACTCCCGGGACTCATCCTTTGCAGCCAGAGCAAAGGTCATTGACTGGCTAGGAGTCAGGGTCAGCTTCCCAGAGGAGGTCAGTGTGGGGCTGGGTCAAGCAAAAGTAGGAGGCCATCAACCCAAGGACCAAGAAGCAGCAGTGAATCTTGAACCCACAAGGGGGCGCTGAGGAACCATGAAGTTTTTAAAATTTTTTCCCCTCTTTTTTGATGGTGTCACTGTAGAGTGCTGGCTGGCTTGAACTATGTAGACCAGGCTGGCCTCAAACTCACAGAGACCTGCCTGCCTCTTTCTCCCAAGTGCTGGCAATACAGCTATGTGCCACCCCACCCCGCATTTATTTCTTTAGTTGCTGGGAGGAGTGAGTATGTCGCACACTTAGGGAGGTCCTGGAAGAGAACGGGTTCACTCCCTTCCACTAACTGCTGGGAACGGAGCTCAGGCTTGGCAGCGAGTGCCTTTTGCACACGGACCCATCGTGGGTGTTGCTGGATGACAGGTTCACTGAGCTGTAATTGTATAACTTTAGCATATCATTCAAGCTTCCCATGCATCACTAACAAACTTTAATGTTTATTTTTTGTGACAATTTTAGGCACATATATAATGAATCTGGATGCTTATCACCACCCTGACTCCTGCAACAAAGTCCCTTCTATTTGCAGACCCTTCTGCTTTGACTTAGGTTGCTTGTTTGTTTTGCGAGCCCCTGAGCGTAATTAACAGGGGAGGCTCGCACAATCAGGTCTGATATTATCGCGACTTTTTGGTGGTTTGGGTTTGCTTTTGAGTGAGACGTGGTCTCAGTAAATTGGCCAGGCTGGTCTCGAACTCCAGATTTTCCCTTCTCTGCTGCTCAAGTGCTGACTAATTACAGGCCTTCCAATGTGCCCATCTTGAGGTAGTGGCTTTTAAATCATCCTAAACATCAACAGAAGAAAGCTTACATAAGCCACTCCCCAGCTCCCGGGCCCTGGCAGCCAGGAACCCACTTCCTCTCTCTGTGGACGCGTTGTGTGACAGACTTTTCCTGGGGAGATGCAACATGGGTTTACTCACCCCAGATGGGATCCCGTGACAGACCAAAGTAGGGACACCACCTGAGTCCACTTTGGTGAACCAATGAGTATTACTGGGGTTACTTATAAGGAGCAGAAATGACTCAAAGACAGCTGTGTCACCAAAGCTCACCCCAGCATGGGTGACAGCTCTGGGAACCTGGAGCACACTGCGCAGCCTGCGGGCAGCTCAGCATGTTGGAGTGTCCTTTCCAGGTGCCACAGTTGGTCTAACCCTCTTCCAGGAGGCTTGGAGGGTCTGAGAGTGACTTCCTCATAGGGAGGTTGAGACCTAGCAGATGTGGTCAGTTTTAGGAACTGGGGGTGTGGTGGACTTCCTAGAATGTGCAGGGCCCTAAAGTTCACCCTCAGCGCCACAAGAAAACGTGAGGTGACGATGCCTTGGCCCCTTAAGGATGGAGTCGGC